CTCATTAATTACAAATCTTTTTGGAGAGGAAGGGTTATCCATATTCACTGTGTTTAAAATAACACAGTCCTCTACATGTGTATTCAGAAGTCAGCCCATTGAGTTCTAGCCCAGCCAATTTGTGTTTGATTTTGCTGGCATCTAATAAAAATAAAAAATAAGCAGGTCAATCATCCTTTTAATTATCAAAATATAAAGAAAAACATGTAGGCAGCATAAAATTAAGTTGCTTAGTAGGCATTTAGGTGATTAATATTCTTCTAATATGATATTGATGTGTCAATATTTATTATGTGGCATTGGCATGGGGCATCTTAAGATTTTGCTGCAGCAATCAATATTTCACAGTGTTTGACAGCTGACACATAGCAGTAACTACCCAAATGTAGCCATCAACATTTGACAGTATCTATGAGCAGACAGCCAGTAGGTTTCCACATTTGATGCTATCTGACAGCAGACCTCCATTAGCATTTAGTATCCGACCGTCATCAGACATATTGACTGCGATGCTACATGGTGCTTGTGTAGTGTAAATCTACACTTGTGTAATGGCACCATACTTCCCTTCTACTGGAGGGTAACATTATGCAACCAAATGTATATCTGCAAGTGTGACTGCATATTGTTCCATTGTGTAGTGTGGTATAGTGCCCTTTTCCACAATCCCAGTGCATCAAATTGTACATTGAAGGCACTGGCAAATAGTTATATACCATTCAAGAGTATGCAACTGCATATGAAATGATTACATTTGTGGCTGAAAAAATGTTGTCTCAACATGCTCCAACAGCAACTTAAAAATGGCTATCAGACTTTTGTTGGTTTGTTTGCTTGTGCCCCATGTTCATGTACCCATGCAATCAGAGTTGCTTATGGCTGTCAATAGTTCTGCCCCCAAGGAGGTTGACAATCTAATGAAATCCAGTGGTTTTAAGGGTAACAGTAGCTAAATTGTTTTTTTTTAAATACACATAAATAAAACATACCACACTATGAATGAGCAAACCACCAAAGAAGATAATTTTCTGCTATGTGAAGAGGGACTTTGCATTTTCTATCCCCTTCAGCCACTAAGTCAGGGTGGGAAATTTTATTTTGGCCCAGCGCGGAACTCCAATTTGGGAAAGGTCTCATGTGGGGTGTTCCATGATTTGGGCCCCTCTCCTGTCATCCTGAATATAAAGGTGAAGTACCTCAAAGTTAGAGCACTGCTTTGAAAAATGTATATATATGTTTGTGTTTTCCTCATTTGTTAAGATTGGGTGTTTTCTATTTGAATGCCATATTATATGTAGCTGTTGTTGATGCTTAATGTATATGCTTAAGACAATACAAGCTCCTGATCCCATGACATCATAAGGGGTCATGCCTAAGTTTCAGATTTTAGATCTGAAACCACAGGTACTCAAATAGTTCTGACTTGCCAACCCTAATCTCAGTGGCTGCATGCCAACCACATGCAGGGCTAAGGGCCATGGGGCAAGGCCAAAGCAAATCATGGGAAGTCAACTGTAACTCTTACAAATTTGGACATGTCACCACCAAATAGATAAATGTTCAGTTCAGTTTTATGCAGATCTACTCAGGAATAAGCCCCTGTGCAACAGCTTCCTGGGCTCTAAATCACACTTTTGTTTTTGCAGCAGCTTCCTGAACTAGTTCATTACCTCCTACCTAATCTCTGATAGCAGCAGAAGAAGCTAGTAGGTATACTGAATGAAATTTGCAGCCTGCTGGATGAAGAATCACCATTAATATGGTTAGTGATAGTAAACAATTTGTTTCAGAGCTTGTGAAAGTTTTTTTTTTTTGGACCATAGCTCCCCAAAAGTAATGTTTTTAAACTTTGGTTTGGCTTTAATGAGCTGCGTCCATCACTTTAAATTAATCTCCACTCTCCATATTTCCCATGTTTCTCTTTGCTTCTCCTCTTTGCTTACTCAGAATTCTGCATGGTTTGCCTAAAGCAAGAGGTAAAAGATTTGGGTTGCTGCTAGCCTTATTTTTTTCAAAATGAGGCTCAGCAGTCCTCCCTACACCTTGAACCCTAAGTATATTTGGTTTCTTCAGCAAGTAGTATACAGACTCCTTTGGTCAGTTTGCAGATACTGGCTGGCATCCTGTACATGCACAAATCACATGACACATGCAAGGTGAATTATTCACCCTAACACAAAGAATCTATGTATTCTGCTGACAACATTAGAAGTTGCACATAGAACAACCTTGCACATTTTGGTTGTGCATTGTGCATGATGGTTGCACATTCTATACTGAATTTGTACATTATTTCACATTGCACAGTTGTACCCAGTCATTGACATGTATTGCATAATTTGCTATTCTATATGATGGTTGTGAAGTGCTTCCATAGCAATCTCTGCATGCAAAATTTAAGCTATACTGAGGGTATATTGGACAGCAGCCACTGTACTGAGAGTTAATATGATGTGCAGACATCATGGGCTTTAATTTTTGGACTTCTCTGCTTCTTCCCCCATCTTCTGCTTTTTGTACTAGGTAGACAGATGAAGAGTTCTGAATAATGTTCATGCTCTTCTCCTGCACTTTAGTTGATCTTAACAAATGTATTGCTTTAAGATGGCTTTGTGTTCCCCCCCTTTCTCCCATGGACTGGCTTGGCCATCATTGCTTTTTTGGTCCCAAAATGCCACCTAAAGGGCAATGGTATTGCCTCCCCACTGCAGTTAGAAAAGACATTGATGCTAGGAAAGGTGGAAGGCAGCAGAAAGAGAGGAAAACCACATGCCAGCTAGATAAACTCAATCAGGAGGAACACAGGACCTGCAGAACCTCTGCAGGACCTGAGCATAGAGATAGAGGTCTTGGAGATGTCTCAGCCACAGAGTTTCCATGAGTAGAGGTTGACTTGAGGCTAGTTAACAACAACAAGAGCTCAGTTCCAGGTGTGGTAGGGATGTGTCCACTCAGGGTCAGTGAGATGAAAGTGCAGGTGCATTGGATGGAAGGAAAAAAGCATGTGATCTGAAATGCCCTGTACAATATTGTGTGTAGTGCAGCAGATGCAAGAAGAAGGAGGTGAGAATGAGAACAGGAAGTGAATCATAGCTAGACAATCACCTCTTCCATAACATATATTGGATAATGGGGACAATAGGACTGAATGGGGCAGTCTGAACTTCTGCTTCAAGAATGAACAACCTTCGGCTCATCCCTCACCATTGTATTTCTTGGCTATGGCTGATGGAAGTTGAAGTCAAATGACAATTCAGGGGCCACACACTTCCTAGCTGTGCCCTACCTGTTGGTTTGTATAATTTAAAGATTTCTATATTGTAAGATCTCAGAGCCCTGTACAGACAAAAAGCAATTCAAAATCATTTAAAACCATAAAGAACAATTTAAAATAACTTTTGAAAGTCTAAAATTTCTAAAACAATGTAAGCAATTTAAAGAGTTAAAACCACATAGATGTAAAGATTCAAACCAAGATCCTTAAATCCCCAAACCTTTGGCAAACAGCCATGTTTTAATGGAGGATTGAAATGAAGCCAATGTCAGTGCCAATCCAGCCTCCAAGGGGAGGGCACTCCACAACCAGGGCACCACAGCAGGGAACACCTGCTCCCATGTGGATTGCGCCTATTGGTGGGATAAAGGGGAGAGCTGCTCCAGTAGATCTCAGGACTCAGGCATGGTCAGATATCTAGGAGAAACATTCCTTCAGGTATTGAGAGATCCTAGGCCATTTAGGGTTTTATATTTCATCACCAACATTTTAATTCAGGAAATGTATTGGCAACCAGTGCAACTCCATTAAAAATGTTGCCATATGCTTTCAGTAAAACGTTCCTTTTAGGGGTTTAGCTGCTCCATATTGTGTTAGCTGCACCCCTATGCCATCTCTAAGGGCATTTCTGTCTCTTCTCTGTTCAGCTTAACGGAGGAGCATTTGCAAAAGCACACAGTCAGGAAACCACATTGATTTGGGTATCATCCCGGCAGCTGCCATAAATATTCTGTGTATATTTTTTGACCATAATGAATGGCCATCTGAGCACCACTGGATGGAACTGTGAAAGAGCAGCTGGCTTCCAGTTTGCTTTGGCTGCTCTCATAGGCTAGTAGTACAACATGTAGCAGAGACTGAGACCAAAAGGGACAAAACATAATACCAGCAAGAAAAGCAACCAGGGACCCTTTCTGATCTCCCACAGCTGGTAATTAAACTGTAATTCAGTTTACCTATAAGATCTGAAGGAACATTTTTGTTTTAGTTCTTAGGAAGCCATTAGAGCAATGAAAATGTCCATATTTGATTAGAACATGGTTGGAGAGCCTGTAGCCCTTCAGATGCTATGAGGTGCACCTCTTATCAGCCTTAGCTGGCAGAGCCAATGGGGAGTTGTAGTCCACAAACATCTGGGTAGCTGAATACTCTGCACCTCTGAATTAGAGCACCTTATCTAGATGATCCTTCTGTCCTCATCAATGACAACTGGATGTCCCTCATGTTCATACAATGCAGGACATGAAGATGTTGGCTGTAATGGACAGTTGTTTGTTTTCTGTCACACAGAGG